ATTCTCTCTTTCTTTCTTTTACACCAAAAATCATTCTTCTCTCTCTCTCTCTCTCTCTCTCCTATATTCTAAGACTTAAACCTATATTCCTAATTATATCATTCTTTCCTTAAGCACTCCAAGGAGTCTATACTAAACCCGAGGTTCCGTCCTTAAACCAACGCGTGAAAAGTATAATTAAATGAGGGTTTGGACCAAAACAAATATATATTTATTTAATTTAATTTCATTTGCTTTATATTTTTTTATTGAATTTACTAACAATTTATTCATGATGTAGCAGTTTAAAGGAACGCGCGGAATGTGAGTAATTAATTAATTTAATTACTTATTTTATTTTAATATTGCTAGTATCATGATTAGGTTATTTTATACTTGATTTGACTAACGCAATTATTGTTAAATTTCTTCCAATATTAATGTTTATTTTATTATTTTTTTTATGATCACCATATTGCATGTTAAAGGGAATATGTAATTGAAAATCACGCCTAATAAGATAATTTGGACGACCAGTTTAGGTTCCTTTTTAATCTTGTTGTTTAATCAAGTGATCACAAATTTTATAGATTATATGTTGCATTAATATTAATCCAATTTAGCTTAATAGTAGTTTGGATCGAATTAAATCTCTGTTTGTATGCCTTTGAGATCGCAGGAATGCTTTTCACTATAAGAATCGAGTAGAGGCCAATACGGGCGAATGTGACTCCATGACTCACTTCGTACCATCATCCCCGATCCTTCTTTCGTGGTTCCGAACCATATGGAGTTAGTAATCTCATGGATTATGAATGGGGTGTAACCTTCACAAGTCAATCGTTGTTGCCTTCGTTGTCCCTTTATCGTGGTTGCCTTTTATGATCCGTGAACGGTTTACAAGTTCCTTAAAAACTTGTTGGTGGCTCCCTACTTTGCTTTGTCCCTAATCATTGTCCCTAATCGTAATGTTAATTCCCACTTCCTATGAGTACTAAGTATATTCACACATGCTTTAATGTAGGCGCACTTCGAACGACGCCTACACCACCCCAATTAGTGTGTATTCATTGCAAGTATATGTGGATCCTAATTCCCTAGAGTTTTATATATTGGTTTACTTTGTGTTGCTTGTTTGTTTAGTTGATTTAGACAACCTACATTTCTACTTACGTTTCGAGATAGCTCAACTTTAGCAATAGTTAGCTTCCCTCCATTACCTTGGGTTCGGCCCTTGACTTGCCTCTATACTAGTATTTGAGTTGGTTAAGTGTTTACAAATTGGTTAAGTATTTTATTGTTGTTGTTGTTGTTGTTGTTATTGTTGGTGGTGGTGGTGGTGTTCTTAATGTTGTTGGTGTTGTTGTTGTTGTTGTTGGTGGTGGTGGTGGTGGTGTTGTTGTTGTTGGTGTTGTTGTTGTTGTTGGTGTTGTTTTTGTTTTTGGTGTTGGTGTTGTTGGTGTTGTTGGTGGTGGTGTTGTTGTTGTTGGTGTTGGTGTTGTTGGTGTTGGTGTTGTTGTTGTTGTTTTTGTTGTTGGTGTTTTTGGTGTTGTTGTTGTTGTGGTTGGTGGTGTTGTTGTTCTTGTTGGTGTTGTTGTTGTTGTTGTTGTTGGTGGTGGTGGTGGTGGTGGTGGTGTTGTTGTTGTTGATGTTGTTGTAATTGTAAAATCTATCCTATTGAAATTTGAGTGGTATCACGTGCCCCAATATCCTGAGTGTTCGAGAACTTCTGACCCACTTCAGCAAAACAACAATCTCCTTGTCGATCTAATTCCCCAAGAGATGAAAAGGGAGAAAAAAAAAAAGATATTGTAACCAATCATCCGACAACTAGCTTAATACTTGACCTGCTTACAGTGACCCCTAAACCGCATTAGCCACTACCTCACTAAGAACGAACAAATCAAACAACCCCGAATGAGGCTAAGATTATTATTGTTATTATTAAAATCAAACAAAGTTAATCATATTATTATTATTATTATTATTATTATTATTTATTAGTTAAATAGTTTAATACTAAATAATAATATTATGTGTAGTGTCAATTAAAACTATTATAATTGATAGCACTGTTATAAGTAATTTTATAATTTTATTAATTATTAGTAATTATAATGATGATCAAATATTCAAATGTGGTTACCTTGATAGATAAGGGGTTATTGCTTACTCATAATACAAAGTATAATCATCTATACAATAGATTAAAAGGCCTTTTCAAATAAGTTTAAGTGTCACATGGTGCTCTACTTATTTAAATCGTGTTATTTCACTCTATGTTTAGAATTATGGTTTTTACAAGATTTGAACCCATAATAACCCTAATTTTGAATTTAAATGTCTAACATGCTAGTCACTAAACTATTAGCATGGAATTTGATTAAAATTAAATATTAAAATGTACTTTTATCCGGGAAATAATGCAAAAAAACTCGAAGTATCACCGATGCCTAAAACTAGTGGAAAGACATGAAAAATGGAAAAAAAAATATATAAATAAAAAAAATTTAATTTTTTTTTTCTTTTTTTTTTTTTTTAAATAAAAACAGTACTTCAAATGAACGAGTATAAGTTATCTTTTAAAGCAGTGAGTGAAGTCTAGTTCTAGATGCCCATCGATTAACGAGCCCTCTTTAGTCTTTATCTCTTTTCTTCTTTTTCTTTTTTGCTCTTTATTTCTTTTTATCCAACCCATGAAAGAGCATGTTTTTGAGTTGTTTCTTCCTACTTTTTGACTTTTAAGGCAAATTTTTTCTGGTTGATCACTAAGCCTTTTCTTTTTTCATTTTATTATATTATTTTTTTTTACTACAAGGAAAAAAAAGAGAATGAAATGATCTCAAAATCTATTCATTCAGCTTAACACAATCAAGTATTTTTATTTCCCAATAGGCTAAAGCAGCACTCATTTAGGATTTAATCATTGCCGTTTTGCTTAGTTTGATCCCATTTTTCCCACGGGATTTGGGCAATCAAGCGCTTTCCGTGTGAACATTATTCATCTATCCCCATTTAATTTTGGGGGTCAAAAGTTGCATACAAACTACTAATCCTATTACATTTTTAATTAAATAATCTAACCATTAATACATCCCACTTGAGTTATACTAACCAAAAGAGGTATAGGTAGAAATATGGATTACATGAACGAGAAGTTATTATGTTCAGAATTTTTTTTAATTTTTTTTTATTTTATTTTTTTGACAAGAAAAACTTGGCAAAATTATGTTCAGAATTAAATACTCTAGATACGAAATTATTCCACCAGGCATTTAACCGAAAATCGCATTTTATAATTTTAATAGTTATGGTTAGATATGATTATTGTAGATTGACTCCACTTAGATTTAGTCATTTTATTATTTATGGTTAGATATAATTAACTATTGTAGATTAACTCCGTCTAGATATAGTTATCACCTTAAAAAGGAATTAAACACCAATGTTTTCAATTGGTGATATATAATAAGTTATTGTGAATTGACTCCGTCTAGATTTAGTTAACATGTTAATAAGGAATCCATTTGAGATTTGTCTCACCTAATCGGGAAGAGGAGGTAGTAAGATGAAAAAAAAGGGATGTATTACCTCCATATTGATTTTTGGCCTCTTTTTTTTTTTTTTTTTTTTTTTGTGCATAATTTAATATGAAATATTTTTATTTTCCTTTCCCCTAACATCTACTCAAAATATTTTATCAATTTCCTCTCTTCAATAGTACATATTTAAACGAGAAAAACTTCATATAATGTGTCTTCTATTATCCCCATTGTATTCTTATTGAAAGAAATTAATTACAGAGTAATTACTTACTTTACTTTCCAAAATTAATATTCCATTAAATAAATTATCATCAAACATTGTGCAACATCAAGTAATACAAATAAAACGACAGAGGGAGTAAAAGCTTTTGACGCTAAATTATTCCGTTAGAGCTTCAAGCAATAACATCTCAATTTTCTTTAGCAAACTCAATTGTAAGATAAAATATACATGTGTGAATTGATATTTAAGATAAATTATTGCAAATTGTGTTCGCCTAAATTTAGTTATCATATTCAAATTTATTCGGTGATAAGGAAAGGAGTACCGATTTTTAATAATAAAACTAACAGAAACGACTAAAAATATATTCCCTCATGCTCATGATTTGGGAACCGCATAAGTGGTACTGGGCTACTGGCCCCTGTATGTTACTGTATGCTAAGATCTTTGTACCAATATTTTTCTACAGACTGTTTTGCAGACACGAGTGTATTAGCTTCATCTATTATCACTACCCTCTACCAACCTTCCATCCAAAACGCATACTTTAGAGTTTGATCAGAATCAATAAACATAATATACTCCATTATATCATATTAGACACAGACTAACAAATAGATTTCAACAAGAACTATAACAAGCTTTAATTGCCAAACTAATGCATAAACAAGATAAATTTTTCGGCCATTAGGATACTATCAAAACAGAGACGAAATTCTTGCAGATTATTCAACAATCACAATATGCACATTTGACTTATTCATCAACAATGCAGCTAACTCGAACATACGGACTACTCAAGGTCAGCACGGCTACATATATAGGAATTGGCCGAGGTCACAAAGAATCTGAACAATACTAAGTTTCCGGCAAAGCCTCAAAACAAGCATTTGAAGCCACAGATAACTGAAATTATGGAATACGGGAGCAGTGTTTAGATTCTGACAAGATCAGATTCAATTGATTTTACAGTAATTATATAGAAGAATATAACTCAGGCAGACATTGTTTGGAGTAATTATATGAGGAATCGAAAAACTTTTGATGACATAATATAGGAATGTATAATAAAGGACAGTGCAATCTGTCATGAACATCAGAGAATCTACATAATTGATGGAAGGGGCAGAAATTTCATCAAATAAGGTGGACAGAATTAAGCTTCTTCTGACGGGTGCTTATCATAAGATTAAGGAGCTTTTCAGTTAACAAAACTGCTACTATGATTAATCAAGGAAATTAAACTACATTACTAAAGGAAAGAAAACAATGTACAAGTTTTACTCATTGATCAGAGATTGCTTAATGTAAAACTTTAATGCAAGGGTACCTTTTATAATATCAACCACAAAGGAAACAGAGGTTTGGATCCAACGCTTGTACACAAATTCAAAATATTTAGACATTAATGAAAAGGAACATCAGATGAAACTGGAGAGATTCGGGTTTAATAGAATCGCAACACACTCCTTGCGAAGGAATGTGAATAAGCTGGCTTTGGTTTCCCTGAGCTGCCCCTTCTGCTGCCTCTCAATGGTGTCAAATAGAAGCGTAACAACCCGTTATCAGTATGACTTGGAGAGTACCTTGAACTCCGATTCCTTTCTAATACAAACTCATCCTTTTTCTTTTTGTTGGAATCAATTATACCACCCTACGTTATACGAGTTCCTCCAACTGACACTGCTATTACTGCGAAACACATTTCTATTAAAACCAGCCCTTGGATCACCATGCCAAGACTCCGAGTATGATCGTTCCACCCCATTCGGTATTGACCTACTGTATCTATCATCATCCTCACCTTTGTTATTGCCTCGTCGATAAATCAAACCCCAAATGTTCCACGCCCTCCATCTACTAGACTTCTTTGACACCTTTCTGTCGCAGGTGCTACCCATCACAGAGGTATTATCCCTAAATCCCATATCAAAGCTCTCAGAATAATCATCTCTAAGCGAATTAGAATTAGAATTCAACAAATCTAAGCCCCTAAAATCCCTATCACCACCAAAACCAGCAACAACTTTGGTTCCATTTAAATAGTCTACACAAGGAGGGGAGATCTTGTTAGTGCAGTCATTCTTCATCTCATCCATTTCAGCAACAACAGCAGCCGCCGTCTTCCTAATAGAACTAGACCTATCAAGACTCTTCCTCCTCCGTGAGGACGAATCAGAGTAATAATCCTTCGTCTGAGAAGCTCCACCAGGGAAAGGGTCATCACCATTAATCGAAACAGAACTCCTCCTCGGTTCCTCTACCGGAATCTGAGTATCTTTCCTCAACACCGTTATCGGTGCATCCTCCACCACTGAAACCATAGGCGGTATCATCCTCGGGAAAGTCCTACCAGTCAAATAACCATCCCAAGAAGCCCTAGGCTCATCAAACGAACACCTGAGATCATCAAATGAAACTCTTCCAGCATCAACGGAAAATCTCCCAGCAGTCGCGGCATCAACAGAAAACCTCCCAGCATCAAGAGAAAACCTAGGATCAGTATCACAAGATCTCCTCCCAAACCCATAATCAGCAATTTCAGACTGAGTATCTCTGTAATTCCTCCCAGCATTGCCCTTTTTACCATTCACTTGTACAGTATGAGACCCACTCATATGCTTTTTAATCTTCTGATTATTGTTCTTCCTTGTCCAAGACCTCAATTTCTTGCTAAAAACCGAGGCCGCAGACCAAAAACTACCCGCAATTTCCTTGAAATCTTTGCTACCCACCTTCTTATTTTGTGAATCTAGATCGATATGGTCTTTCATTGGCTTCAATTCCACCGTCTGCCCTTGAAAGTTTCCACCCACCACCTGCTCACCCGATGAATAATCCCTCAAATTATTATCCACACTGTTGTTATTATTATTATTATAATCATCATTACACTCGACAATTTCCTCCTCTATAACCTGGATTTCATCCCCATTATCAATGCTTTCATGGAATTCCTCCTCTTCTTCTCCTTCTCCTTCCTCCTCGGCTACCCCGTGATCTCCAACCTCCGCCGTCAATTCAATCACCGCCGATGAAGTCGAAGGCTCATTTATTACAGGATGATGCCCTTGCCCTTGTGCACCGCGCTTCCCATTCCCATTCCCATCATCCTGCGAAAAGAGAGAGAAAAGCGTACTCCTACCTCGAACGTCGCACGACTTACGCTGCGGCTCGAAAGCACCGGAAAGTCCGAGAAACCCTCCCTCGTTCTTTCCTCCGGAAAACGAGTTAGTCCGTCGCAGCTCCGGTAAAAAAGAACTCGAACTCGGCCTACCTCGTAATGCGGACCCAGTATCGTTGCTAGGTTTAAACAGTGATTTGAGTGCAGAAGAGGCGGATTTACGGCCAGTAGAGGCGGTTGCTGCGGATGATTTGTCTAACACCGCTAAACGCTCGCAAAGACAAGAGGGGCAGAACCCAGTGAACTGCTCATCGGGATGCCGGTCGCAACTGGTGGACTTCAGGTGGGGCTGCGGTGGTGGTGGTGGTGGCGGCGGCGGTAATTGCTCAGCTGTCACGGGATTCATGCCCGAATTAAATTCCCCTTCTCTCTCCCCGTGATTCCACTATTGCATTTTTCAGAGAAAATCAAAGAAATCAGAGAAAAAGAGATGGTAGAAAAAGTGGGAGGTGGTGATATTTGGGAGGAGTGTTCCAACGGAAAGTGACAATGAGAAAGAGAAAAGAAAAAAAAATACTCTGTATAAAGGAAGGAGCAAAGCAACGGGAAGACAATGTGATTTAAATATTTTTATTTATTTGGCTACTCACACCTGGGAGAAGGAATTTGAGGGTTTTTTTTTTTTTTTTTTTTTTTTTTTTGAGGGTGAGATAGACAAATAGACTGACTTTATTTCCGTCAGCCTCGCAATTTGTCTGTATCGGTTTGCTTTTGGTTAAGGGTGTGCTTTAATTCTTTTACGGGATACGCGTAGTCGATTTAAGCATACTCTCTGATTACTCTCTTTCTCACTTGAAAATTGAAAAGGACGGATTCACTCTTTTGTTGCTCGTCATGTCCCTGTAACGGAACGGATCGTTTTGTGTGTTTATGTATTATTCTTTTATTTGCTTTTTTCTACCTCTTGATCGCTACGATGTGAGCGGTCCCCTAAATCAATATGGGAATGAAATAGGTTCAAAGTTGTTTGGTTCATACTCCAAACTCCATATTAAAAAAAAAAAAAAAAGATACAAACAGTAAAAGGAATTTGTTTTATTATTTGTTGAAAATGGGGAATTTAAATCGATACCTTTGTTTGCCATTGTTTTTTATTTTAAATTTTTTTTACTAAAAAAAACAAAAATAGTAAATAAGAAAAAGATTTGTATTCTATTGTGAATTATTTAACTTTCTTTTGTCAGTTTCAATATCATTATAATTTTAATAACTTTGACTAATTTTTAATTTATTATACTACCTCTGTTACATATTATTTGCAACGATTTGACATAAAGTAGAGAAGAAAAATGTTTAATCGTTGCACATAATATGTAACGGGGGTAGTATTACATACTAGTTTTGTGCCCAGAGCGAGACCTACGTTGTTTATTGCATATAAGGATTATAAACCTTTTGGTTTGAATATTAAATACGATTACACAGTCCTATAATTACTTTTGATAATGCAAGATATGTTCATACTTAAATTATTTTTACTAAACTGAAAATATTTTTTTGATTAAAACTTATTTTTTACTAATTGTCTGTTATTTGAAATATATTATAAATCAATCTTATCTTAAAGAACTTTTTAACAAAAATTTATGATAGAAATAGAGCCGAGTTATTAGATTTTTATTAAGGAAAAATTGCCCGGATTAATCCGACCTTTTGCCCGTCCGCTGAAAATAATCCCACCTATCGTTTATTTTTTAATAATCCCACCTTTACCCCCCGATCTTTTCTATTGGTCCCTACAGGTTACCTTACCTATTGTAGCCGGTTTTGGGATGACGTGGCTACCAACGGTTACAATCCTTTTAAAAATTGCCAGGTCAACAATTTTGCTTTCTCCTTCTTCGTTCTCTGTTCTAAAAAAAACACCTCCCCCTCTGATTTTCTTCTCTTAATTAAATTTCTTCTTTGTTAAATCTGTCTAAAATGGCTAGTAGGAGGCATAATGGGTCAAGTAGTTCTACTTCGTCAAGGAATTACGGCTTGGTTGCGTCAAAAATGAAGTGCAGGTGTGGTTTGGAAGCAATTACACGCACGGTTAAGAATGGTGAGAACGTGGGGTTGAAGTTCCATGGATGCCCTAGATGGCCTGTAAGTCCAGGTGTATTGCGAAATTATGTGTGTGATTAATTAAGGTTAATTGCTCCAATTAAATTGGGGATTTGAATGTAGGGTTTTCATTCTAATTGAATTGGGGTTTTTTTTAATTTTTTTTGCAGGATGGTGACTGTGGCTTCTTTGAGTGGGCTCATGTTAACCCCAAAGTTGTTGATGACCTACGATTTCAAGTGTTTGAAAGAGATACTCAAGTTGCTGAAAAGGAAATGGAGATTGATTTCCTTAAAGAAGAATTGAAGAAGGTTAAGAAGAAAATGGGAAGTAAAGAGGATGAATTAGATGACACCAAAATGGAGCTTTGCCACACTCGAATTGAATTGATGAAGGCTACAAGGAATGAAAAGAATTTTTCCATTTCTCTGTTGGTTTCTTGGATTGTCTTTGCTTTCATGATAGTGATTTTGAAGGCATGACTGTGATGTATTGCAAATGATTGTAGGTAGTTAAAAGTGAAGTCAGTTTAGTTTGGTTAAGTAATGTGTTGTGGTCATTTGTGACATGTATTGAGCAAAGACCAAGTTGTTATGTAATGAGCAATGCATTGATGAGTTAATGAAAGTTATTTTGACAATTGTTTGCACAATACTTGAAATTCAGACATGTAGCATAATCACATAGCTGCATAAGTTCAACAAAAGATGGTGACATTGTCTGGCCTAACATTCATACACAAAATGCATCATGAATTGGGTGTAATTGCTGTAGGAATTAACACACCCAACATGATCAAAAGACAGTATCCAAATGTATAATATAAACATAGTTAAGTCTAATGAGTGACATGAAACTATTGAGTTGGTCCTTGTTGCAAAGTGGAGGTTTGGCTTGTTTGACTGCACTGAAACCAGTCCATGGCTGACCTTGTCCTTCTTTGATTAGTGTGGGCTGATCCATCAGGTGCAATGTACATACCTACACCTTGTGGAATCTGTACAAAACACAAAAAATTCAAGGAAATAAGTACACACCATAAACAAGTTTAGGATCTAATTGAGGGATGTATGAGAACAAAAACCAACCTGGTTCCTTCCCCTGCCCCTTGAGCCACCCCTTGCCCTTCCTCTTGTCCCACTTGCAGCACCCCTGTTCCCACTTGCACCACCACTGCTGGAGCCTGCAGTACTTGAAACACCTCTTCCAGCAGAGCCTCTCCCAGCAGCAGCACCACTCCCAGCATCCACTCCTCTACCAGCAGCAGTAGCCCCTCTCCCACCAGCAACAACACCTCTCCTAGCACCATCTCCTTTACCCCTTCCACCCCTAGAGCCCCTTCCCATATTTATCATTCTTCCCCCTCTACCTAGTATGGTGGGTTAAGCTGTTTGATTGTAGTGACTTGTATTAGGTCCTTGGGGTGCAGATGGCACAGCCTGACTAGCTTGTGTAGATGGCATAGCCTGACTAGCTATTGAGGGCTGAGTTGGTGGTGGAGCATCCTTTCTAGGCCTTCCTTTAGCCCTTTTTGGAGCAGGTTCAGTTGGCTTCACATTGTCCTTGTTGGGGCACTTTCTTTTATTATGTCCCTTAAGCTAGCAGAGTGAGCAAGTCATCTCAATCCCTGCTCTGGTCATTGTACCAGATTTCTTAGGGTTCTCATGGGGGTCTTTGATTCTATTTTTTCTTGGCCTTCCTGGGCCAATTTTGATTGGTGGTGGAGCAATTGATTTGGACACTTTAGGCCAGTGTCTTTCACCTTGAATTGGGGGAATTTAGCCTGCCACACACAAGTAACATGTGACACATACACATACACTAACAAAGTAATACACAAATGTTGAAATGGTTCAGTTATTGTACCTGCATAAACTGACATGTAAGTGTCTTTGAAATATGATGAGTGCACATACAACTCAGGCTCCTTTCCCACAAAATAGATGCAGGCAACAGCATGACAACATGGGATGCCAGTGATGTCCCATTTTCTACAAGTACAGCTCCTTTCTTCCAACCTCACCACCAATTGATCCAATATGTAGCTAACATTGAAATTATTTTCAGAAGAAGGGTACACTTCACATTCAGCAGCCTTTGTCTTCTCAAAATCAAACTTGGCTTGAATCCTTGGACAGAGCACACCAGTAGCTTTCATCATGGCCTGCCTTTTCACTACCAGCCTTTGCATCAGTGAAGTTCTGATTTCTTCTAACATGTATAGCAAATGTTTGGTCCTTGCTTGAATGACCATTAAATGTCTCTGCAATGTTGGAAGTTATTGCATCTGTTTTGATAGCAGGATTGAGGAAAGCTCTGCAAAACAACTGAGGCCTATGCAGCTTGAAGTCATTGGCAGCATCAACATTGAGAGAACTAAGCTTAGCCATGTTCTCTTCATAATCAGCTTCATTGTAGCTCTTTGCAATAGCCCAGAACAACAATTTCATCTCATCTCCTCTATATTTCTTGTGTCAGTGAGCAAATATATGTCTGGCACAGTGTCTATGTTCTGCCCTAGGTAGGACAGTTGAGACACTACTCACAATACTCTACATTTGCACAAAAAAAGCCAAAAAAAAAAATTAAAAAACCAAGTCAAAGTTTGCACACAACATAAACTAGCCTATGTAAACTATTTAACAATAAATGAGTACAAAGTTAAGTCCATACCACATGCTCATCTGAAATGATTGAGATGCCTTCCCCTTCTCCCAGACTTAGGCACATTGCTACCTTCCTAAAGAACCACTCCTAAGAGGAGTTATTCTCTCCTTCAACCACTGCCAAGCAGACAAGAAACATTTGGTCATTGCTGTCCCTTCCAACAGCAGCCAACAACTGACCCCCTAAGAAAGTCTTTAAGAAGCATGCATCTACTGCCAACACTTTCTTGCATCCTTGTATCCACCCATTTTTAAGCCCCTCAAAGAAAATGAACAACCTTTGAAATACAGGTTGGTCTCCTTGTTTTGATGGTTCAGTTACAAGCTCAATCTCTGTCCCTGGGTTGCAGTTCTCAATCTCTTTCAAGTACCCTCCAAGATTGTTGTAGTGGACATGCATTAACCCATGTAACAACCTATGAGCATTGTACTTCACCTTGTAGGAAAAGTCTCTGGTCACCAACATCTTGTAAGCTTTCCTTATACACTCTTGTATCTCCTTTGCAGGCCAATGTGGCCTAGATTTGAAGACATCCAGGAACTGCTTTGCAACCCAACTAGATTTGAGCTGCCTGTTTCTCTTCATGTTTCTCTGATAGGTGTGTTCCCCTTTCACTGTCTTCACCACAAATGTTGCTCTTCTTGTATCCTAGGATGCATACACATAAAAAGGACAGCTCTCTATGCACCTTACACCCAATCTCTGAGATCTTTGCTTGTTGCTCACAACAAAAAACATATCTCTGCCCTGAAGTATTCCATATTTAGCAACTGCATCCTTGAAGTCCTCTCTGTTGGCAAACTTCTGCCCAACCTTCCAAACAAATGTGCTAAATTCTGTATGCTTAGACACTAAAAGCCCTAACCTTCTTCTCCTCCCTGGAATCAACTCTTCTTCATCACCACTGTTAGGAGGGGTATGAATTTCTTCATCACTTTCTTCATAATCACTCTGAGCCCCAGTTGCTGCACTTTCCCTAGCTTCTTCCCTGTTCTCAGCAACTTCTTGTATGCTCAAACCCCTAGCAGCCTCCAATTGTATCTTCCTTGCAATGTCAACTAGCTGGGCAGTTGTATCCCTAACCCTCTGCTTAGCTATATTGTACTCCTCATCTCCACTATCAGACTGATATTGTAGATCTTCATCCAAGATCTCTTCATGTTCCCTCTCATACTCCTCCTCTAACTCCTCTAAACCTTCAACCTCTAATTCTAAATCATCACCATCAGCATCTGCTCCCTGCTCCCCATCTGACTCCACATCCTCATCACTATGATCTGAGTAAACCTCTCCAAAGAAAGGCTTTGAGCTCACTCCCTTGCCCTTGTCAACCAGTGGGTTGTATGGAGGGTCTTCATGGTCACTCTCAGTGCTATAATCTGGAATTAGGTCATTAATTGGGATGGGGCTATCTGGCCTAGAATCTTCCCACTCATATGAATGTACTGGGTCAGTTTGGGTTTTTGAGGGTGTTATGAGAGAAGAGAGAGTGGGGAGAGCTGTTACAGTTGGTAAACTAGGGTTTATAACATATTTAACTCTAAAAGAGCTTTGGTTGGATAAGGTGTTGGTGGGTGGAGTGGGAACAGATTCAGTGGGAGCATCTTTGTTTAACTCAACAGTGGGGGCATCTTTTTTAAACTCATCTGTTTTTGGCTTTAGTGAGTTGTCAGTGGCTTTTTGGGTAGGTTCATTAATTGTCAAAGGCTGACTTTTCTTTCTTGGACTACATCTAATTTGTGGTCCCCTATTTATTGGTAGTTTTTTTTTGCATGATTGTTTTGGGTTGATTCTTTTTGGCAGAAGCCTGTAACTGTGGGGGGAAGGGTATTGGGTCATTGTCATCATGCATAACATATACCTCCACCCCCCTGTACTTCTCTGCAACTTGAATCATATCCCTCATACTTTCATCATCTGTCACCTTCCTCAAACCATCCACCATACTCAACCCAGGAACCAAGTATAAAAACCCCTTTATCCTCCCATCATATCTAGCACACTTCATAACCAACTCAACCAAATAAAAGGAGCAAAGTTCATCTGGGTCTATGCTAAATGTTCTCCTCTCCCCATTCCTATAGCGCAACTTCCCATTGTTACCAGTCTCAAACACACCTCCATGCCACATTTTCAAGGTAATCTTACCCATACCTAAATTAACATGCACTAAATTACAATCAACATACAACAACCACCAAAAGCACGCAATAAAAACCCAAACTTTAAGAATCATACACCACTAATATTAACAAACACATAAAGCGCAAATTTTTAGCCAACAAAACAACAATTCACAACCATATTGAACAAATACATTGCAATTACAAGCATAAATTCATCAACTTCCAGTTCAATTAATTAGGTTTCCAAATTTAGACGCAATGAATCGCAAATTACAGGAAAAATTTAGGGTTTAGTACCTTACCTAAAATGGCGAAATTTAGGGTTTAACTGTCGCAATTCCGCAAAAAATGGAAGTTTCAGACTTTACTGCAAGGTACGATAGTTGTTGAAGCTTCAATTATGGCTTTTGATCTACTTCAAACCTAATTTTAATTGCGCTGTGTAAGAAGTTATGAAGAGGGAGGGAGAAAGTTCAGAAATAACAGAGGGTGGGTGGGAGAGAGATGACCTGTCATGTTTAAGAGAGGGAAAATTAAATACCCAAGTCCACGTCACAACTGTTTACCTTGTTAGCCGGTTTCATGTAAACTGGGACCAATAGAAAAGATCGGGGGGTAAAGGTGGGATTATTAAAAAATAATCGATAGGTGGGATTATTTTCAGCGGACGGGCAAAAGGTCGGATTTATCCGGGCAATTTTCCTTTTATTAAAAGTAAGGATCAATTTTTATATATGAAATATTAGTAGTGTATCGAAAGTAAAAACTCTACACAACATCTTTATTTTAAAAAATCTATTCAAAAAATGATTATTTAGTGAAAAACGAACAATTGTGTGCTCGAGTGATGCCCATATGGTTTATAGAATTTGTAATTTAATTTGTCAATAAATATCTGTTTTGGGGTTTTTTTTGTGTCCAGCGGGAGAGTTACAACTCCAAGACTGGGACCATCTGCCTATACCTACAAAATAACGGAGACTCTGGGTGGTTGGAGCCTCGCCTCCGACGATCAAGTTAGAACGCGTACGAAAAAGGTAAAAAGTGCAAAAAAAAGGTAAAAGTTGGATCTTCTCAGATTCCGAGATTAGATGATTTCTCTGATGTAAGAGAATTTAAGTATAGGAGTTTATAGGTACCACGCAGCGGAAAATCATAAATCACATTCAATCAAGTACCTAATCCAAGATCACATGCATAACACACTAGACACATAATCATACCTTTGAAGCGTAAATTCCACGTAACAATTTGATTTACGAATCAGAGAGAGAATAGAGCCCCAAGCGTTGCTACTCTACTTAGTCCACGAGCTTCGAACGAGTCGTCCACCAATACTAGATTGGTCGAGTGAAAGAGGAAAACCGTGATCACCACCTTTAATTGACTAAGCCGACCACCACGATCCATCACCACCACGAACTACCACACTAGCGCCGAGGGAGGAGAGAGAGTCGTGAGAGAGGGGAGAGTTTGAGAGGGTTGGTCTCGTGTTTGCTAATTTGGGTTTTGATCTTACTGATCAACTGAATTTAACTTACTGCAAAACCCTA